ACAATATATTGAAAAATAGATTTAAAGAAACCCATAATATATACATGTATATAAATAAAAATCATAATAATTTCATATATGGACAATTTCTTGGCTTTCTAATAAAAAGATCACTGACAGATTGACCCAATACATAAATGATTGTCACAATTATACCACTTAAATTTAGCTGTGAAATTATAACAATGGCCTGGATAGGTATTTTATCACTTATATGGTTATATTTTCTGTTACATTTTGGTATTGTTAAGTCCATGTAGAAGCAAAAAGTATCTTTACTCCTACGAGGTGCCTCCTGAAACCAAATACATTTGAAAAACTAATGAACATTAAATGTAATATGAGAATGTAGCTTAGTAAATAGGAAGCAACACATGTACATATGTAGACTGAATTAATTACTGTAAAACTAAGATGGATTATTTTTTTGTACATTTGTTGTATTGAAATGTTCAATAAAACGATAGTGTTGAACCATTGCATTTCTTAACTTATGTACATGAAATCAGTAATCATAAATGTAATCTGATTACTCATGTCAGTAGTCAGTAATTTAATCAATTACAATGTCAAAATGGAGTAATCAATAATTTAATTTAATCAAGCATTTTAACAAATAATCATAATTTAATTGATTACAATTGTCAAGTAATCGCCCCATGTCTGCTTGTAGATGCCTGAATTTTTACTCGACACTTACAATGGTAAACATTTGTGTCAAGTTATAATGAAATCCCTTTATGCGTGTATCAGTTTTTCTCCGACAAGCGTATTTCAATGACCTTTAAGTGTAACCCTGAACTTTAACATATCATCGACATAGCTTCTCATAGTGAGAACATTTCTCTGAAGTTTCATTTAAATTCCTCCATGCGTTTAGGACAAAATTAGAGGCCGACCGCCAGACCGCCGGTCCACCAGATCGCTCGCCAGTTGGGAAACTATAATATAACGAACGGGTGTATAAATACAAGCGCAGCTTTAAAGGACCTCAACTGAGGTTTATAAGCCTAAATACAGAACTTTTTAATTTTTCACATCGATAAACATGAGCGGTTAAAACCGAAATATAAATAAAATATAACTAAGAAATTGCAAGAAAAACATTAAAAATTGTATGTTTGTGCTATTCTCAGTCCGATTTGATTGAAAAACGTTTAAACGCTTTTCAATTTTGGATCATTTTTATATGCCCTAAAGGCCTATTATGTTATACCCCCTGGCGTCCGTCTGTCCGTCCGTACGTCCGTCCGTCCGTTAGCAATTTGGTTTCCGGAGCATAACTTAAGTTCCATTTGGCCCACAATGTTCAAACTTCATAGGATGATTGCCCATATTGGGTAGAAGACCCCTATTGATTTTGGGGTCAAAAGATCAAAGGTCAAGGTCACTATAACCTTATAACTGAAAAGAAGTTCCATTCGACCAACAATGTTCAAACTTCATAGGATGATTGTCAATATTGGGTAAAAGACCCCTATTGATTTTTGGGTCACAAGGACAAAGGTCAAGGTCACTATTACCTTGATACTGAAAACAGTTTCCGGAGCATAACTTAAGTTCCATTCGACCCACAATGTTCAAACTTCATAGGATGATTGTCCATTGTAAGTAGAAGACCCCTATTGATTTTGGGGTCAAAAGGTCAAAGGTAAAGGTCACTATGACCTTAAAACTGAAAACAGTTTCCGAAGCATAACTTAACTTCCAATTGACCTACAATGTTCAACTTCATAGGATGATTGTCCATATTAGGTAGAAGACCCCTATTGATTTTGGGGTCACAAGGTCAAAGGTCAAGGCCACTATGACATTAAAGCTGAAAACAGTTTCCGGAGCATTACTTAAGTTCCATTCGACCCACAATGTTCAAACCTCATAGGATGATTGTCCATATTAGGTAGAAGACCCCTATTGATTTTGGGGTCAAAAGGTCAAAGGTCACTATAACCTTATAACTGAAAACAGTTTCCGGAGCATAACTTAAGTTCCATTAGACCAACAATGTTCAAACTTCATAGGATGATTGTCAATATTGGGTAAAAGACCCCTATTGATTTTTGGGTCACAAGGACTATCAAGGTCACTATTACCTTGATACTGAAAACAGTTTCCGGAGCATAACTTAAGTTCCTATTGACCCACAATGTTCAAACTTCATAGGATGATTGTCCATATTGGATAGAAGACCCCTATTGATTTAGGGGCCACAAGGTCAAAGGTCAAGGTCACTATTACCTTGATACTTGAATCAGTTTCAAGAGTATAACTAAAGTTCCATTTGGCCCACAGTGTTCAAACTTCATATGATGATTGTCCATATTGGGTAGAAGACCCCTATTAATTTTGGGGTCAAAAGGTCAAGGGTCAAGGTCACTATATCCTTAAAACTGAAAACAGTTTCTGGAGCATAACTTAAGTTCCATTTGGCCAACAATATTCAAACTTCATAGGATGATTGTCCATATTGGGTTAAAGACCCCAATTGATTTTGGGGTCACTAGGTCAAAGGTCAAGGTCACAATTACCTTTAAACCAAAAATAGTTTCCGGAGCATAACGTAAGTTCCATTTGGCCCACAATATTCAAACTTGATAGGATGATTATCCATATAGGGTAGAAGACCCCTATTGATTTTGGGGTCACAAGGTCAAAGTCACTTTTACCTTAATACTGAAAACAGTTTCTAGAGCATAATTAAAGTTCCATTTGGCCCACAATATTCAAACTTCTGAGGATGACTGTCCATAAAAGGTAGAAGACCCCTATTGATTTTGGGGTCACAAGGTCAAAGGTTAAGGTCATTATTAATAACTTAAGTATTAATCAACCTACAGCTGTAAAATTTTATAGGATGAATAGTGAATTCCATGTCTTACAAATGCTTCATCCTTACTAAAAAAAACACTTTCGGGCATATAATGCTCCGCCTAGCGGTGCTCTTGTTCACTACTATATTAATTATTCTGGAAAAACGAAGCGAGCGAATGATCTGAAATTTTCCACATAAGTTATTAGTATAGATCTACATCAAATGGAGTAATAATCTCAACAAATTATTTCCAGTCCCGTCACGTCAAAACAACCTAAGTGGAGTCCCTTTAAAGGGGCATGTTTTCAGATTCTAGCTAATTTTCAAAATTTTGAAAATGAATATAAAACTATTGTGAAGTGATCATAATCAATCATTAATTTGCACATAACATCATGTATATTATTACTTGAAACTTTTTACATTTCTTAAGATCTTAGTACATTTTTCTCAAGTTTGATTTTAAGCTCACCTTATCTAGCTCAGGGTAAGTTTTAGGATCGCTGAATGTCCGTCGTTTGTCGTCCGTCCAAACTTGTTCGTTAACAATCTAGCGGTCACATGTTTGCCTCAATCAACATCAACCTTTGCCAGCATGGTTATCTAGGTATTGCTTTGGTGAGTTCGAACATGGGTCATCTCGGATAAAAAACTAAGTCACATTTGCTAAAAATAGAAAAACCTTCTTAACACTCTAGCGTTCACATTTTTAACTCAATCTTCATCAAACTCTGTCAAGATGCTTATGTAGGTAATAGCCCGGATGAGTTCGAACATGGGTCATCTCGGATCAAAAACTAGGTCACAGGAGCTGAAAATAGAAAAACCTTGTTAACACTCTAGCGGTCACAATTTTGCCTCAATCATCATCAAACTCGGTCAGAATGCTTGTCTAGGTGATAGCTCGTATGAGCTCGAACTTGGGTCATCTCGAATGAAAAAACTAGGTCACAGAAGCTTAAAATAGAAAAACCTTGTTAACACTCTAGCGGTCACAATTTTTACTCGATCATCATCATCAAACATGGTCAGGATGCTTGTCTTTGTAATTGCTCAAATGTGTTTGAACATTGGCCATCTCGGATCAAAAACTAGGTCACATTTGCTAAAAATAGGAAAACCTTGTCAACACTCTAGCGGTCACATTTTTCACTCATTTATCATCAAACTTGGTCGGAATGCTTGTCTAGGTAAATGCTCGAATGAGTTCAAACATAGGTCATCTCAGATGAAAAACTAGATCACAGGAGCTAATAATAGAAAAAAATTGTTAACACTCTAGTGGCTTCTGTTTTGATCCAAATATCCTGGAATTTGGTCCGAAAGTTTGCTCTGATGATTTCTTGGTCAAGTTTGAATATGGGTCACCTTAGGTCAAAAACTAGGTCACACCTCCCAAATATGGAAAAAGCTTCTTAGCACTCAAGAGGTCACATTTGTGACTCAACTATCATCAAACTTGGTCAGGATGCTTGTCTAGAAAATTGCTCGGATGAGTTCGAACATGGGTCATCTTGAATGAAAAACTAGGTCACAGGAGTTAAAAATAGAAAAATCTTGTTAACACTCTAGTGGCTGCTTTTATGATTCAAATATCCTCGAAATTGGTCTGAAAGTTTGGTTTAATGATTGCTAGGTCAAGTTTAAATATCGATCACCTGGGTTAAAAAACTAGGTCACACTGCCCAAATATGGAAAAACCTTGTTAACACTCCAGTGGTCACATTTTTTACTCAATTATCATCAAACTTTGTCAAGATGCTTGTCTAGATAATTGCTCGGATGAGTTGAACATGGGTCATCTTGGATGAAAAACTAGGTCACCGGAACTAAAATAGAAAAATTTTGTTAATACTCTATTGGCTACTGTTTTAATCCAAAATATCCTTGAAATTGGTCTGAAAGTTTGTTTTGATGATTTCTAGGTCAAGTTCGAATATTGGTCGCCTTGGGTCAAAATCTAGGTCACACTGCTCAAATATGTACACTAGTGGTCACATTTTTGACTCACCTGTCATGAAACTTGGTCTGAGTATGCATGTCTAGTTAATTGTTCGGATGAGTTCGATGGGTCAGGTGAGCGATCTAGGGCCATCTTGGCCCTCTTGTTTTCAATAGTTTGGCTCTGAAAGGCATGCAGCTTTCAGATTTTTTCCAGGTGAGCCATTTTTTATTTACTTATTTTCAGTAGACTATCATAACGGTAACAAAGTATATGCCATGAGGGTAGGGCGCATGGCTAGTTCCGCGTCCATTACCGAACAGCCAGGCTCAAATTCTAAACCTATTACTGAACAACCTAGCGGTCGCCCTACAGTCTCAAACCACCCAAATGTAGACCACAGGTTAAAGCTAGTAACAGATGTTTATACGATAAATGATGACAATAAAGAACAAAAAGTAATAGTTGTATACGACGAGAGTGTGACCGGTAAATTAGGAAATGACAGTGGATGGCATCCAGGTATCCTTTTTGTTCAACCTGAAACAGACGATGAAACAACTTCTAAAGATTCCGTTACGATTGAAAAATGATGATGCAGTGGATTGACAACAACAAGAAGAATAAAATAATCAAACTATTAATTAACTAGCTATATTATTTTAAGTTTCTAGAAACTAAGTTTATAATTTATGTCAATTTTTAGACTCATTACTAACAATAACTGATACTTTCACGATAAAGAATGGGTCTAGAGAGGTTTAAAAAAAGAAGTTTAAAAAAATAACATATATATGACGAGACCACGACCACCTAGTTTAAATACATGGATGATGGTGAAACAGATGATGGAAGCTCGACTGAAAAAATAACTTAATTGATTTAAAGCATATAAATACTATGCAGAAAGATATTTCGATTAATTATGTTAATGGGCAGCCTTAGTCTCTTCTTGGGTATTTTAGATGTTAATTGTTTTGGGTTATCTCGTCTTCAGAAACTCATCAGATTTAATTTACCCACTCCAATATCATCATATACCGGCAGAATTTAGCCTGTACATTCTTCTTGAAATAATGTTATTCAATCTGATTTACAAGAAAAGCATTGATGCAAAGCATCAAAGGGCGTCCAAACAGCAGGTGCAGATGAACTAGTAGATATATGATGACAAGATATTCTTATAAACTTTTCAATGGTTCATTGGGTTTTACCAGAATTGTATATCACTTTTGAATGAACGGACGAAAGACATTGTTCATTATTTATAACTTTGATCGGCATGCTAGAAATTAGAATATTACTTGTTATTTCTTTATGATCGTGATTATTAATAGCAACGGATATACATGTATACAATCATTTATAATCCATATGTGTAACGCATGATCAACACCATACTTGTGTAATTGTCCTTATTATGTTATTGTTATTAACGAGGACCCCCTCTTAAGGTATCTGATCACACTAAGTAACAATATGACACTTGTTATATTACCATGTTGATCATGTTGAGCATAATTGTTTATTATACAATAAATGTAATTTCTATTTTAATAAAAAAAATACAGATTTTATGAATATTGTTTTCTTTTCTTTTTTTGTGTGTGTTTTATGCGCTATTTTAATACTGAGTTTTTACGTTTACTACTATTTTAAGAATTCAATTGTCATAATGATCGACGATTATAAGTCAAAACTTAACTGGAAAAAGTCAGTAAATCATGGTTAATCTTTCAATTTATAATATTGTTTATTCTTAAACCATATACATGTACATTTGTATTTTTCTTTATCATTTTTTAAATTATCAATCAATTGAATAATTCATAAAATATGATTTGTAACTTTGAATAATTCCTCGAATCTTTACTAAACACGAATAACAAATTATATAAAATGTTTAAAGTTGATAGTGTCATATTAATGCCATAAAAATGTACATTTTTTCTCAATTATTGTACATATTTATTGTTTTTATCTCATATAGATAAAATATAACATGCGATTTGTGTTGTTGGTTTTTTTTTTTCGAATTGTATGTTTATGTATAATAATAATCAATCAATTCGAGAGTTGATCTGTGTTTATTAATTATTGTAGCCAAACTAAGTGACAAACATTCATTTTGAAAAAAAAGCTTATTTATCTGTAAAATATTTGTTCTGTTCTGTAACGATATCTACTCCAAAACCGGGAGAGACCGGACAATAAACGTGTGGTACTATTCGCCGGTCATTAGTAAATCCCGGAGAGACCGGGAATTACCTAGGAGTACATCCTCTATAAATAGATTTTCGGAATATTAAGGTCATCAACTCATCATTCTATTAACAGCTTTCGGAATAACATACCAAAATAACCCACTGTGTACTACAAAATGATAAGCAAAAATACCCCGAAGAGCGCGATTTATTGACGGAAAAGGTTATTTCATTTGAAAATGTTTGCATTGCGAAATTCTCCAGTTCGCCATTCATTGTACATATCGCAACTAATTAACAATCAAGCACCCTCATACCGATCGGAATGATCGGCTTTTATTATTGGCAACTATAAAAGGCTCGAGAAGTTGCTGTCGCCCTTTCACAAAATCTCATTTCATTCCAATAGGTGCCGCGCTTCGGCGCGGACGCCAAAAACGGCTGTTTAAATAAGATTTGGGTGGGGGCATGTTTTTTTTCTGTTGTTGTTATTGTTGTGTGTGTGTGTGTGTTTTTTTTTTGTGTGTGTTTTTGTTCTTGTTGTTTTGGGGGCGGGGTTTCAGAAAATATTTCAAAGTGACAAGTTTACACATATTATGCTTAATATTATATAATATCATAAATGTTCAAAGCTGTTTCAAATACGATTAGGCCAGAATGGAAGTCAGAGAGCTTCATTTGTTATGCGGTTTGAAATATTGTTGACTTAACACTTATATACACTTAACACTTAAACAATTATTTGCAATTTTACATTTACTTTAAGCATGTAAAGCCATCATGTTTTACTAAACATTGTTTTGATTGTTTATCCAAGTGAAGAATACTGATACGTGTTGTTTCTTCATATTTTTTCTTTCTCAAAACTCGGCTCTCTGACTTTATTTTGTTATAAAGAACTTCACGTGCTAAACTAACAAAAGTATTTATCAAAGTGTGTAATGACTTAGAAGTATGTATACCAGTACATGTGGCTGATTTTGTCCCTTGAATACATATTATCATGTCCGTAATTTACAAGTTTTTGTCAACTTAATATCGTTTGAATTGGTAATGGTTTAATAGTTTGTGAAAAAATTTAGTTATATTATGTGATGTTATAATATACTGACGTGTAAGCTTTGCTCTCTTTCTCTGTTTTTTTTCTGTTGTTTAAAAAAATGAAAAAGGTTTCATTGTCACTGTTAAATACGTATATTCATCATGTAGAGTTGTTAAGTTATAAGTGAATATGAAATTGTACATATATGCATATATTTTTTATTTATTTAATTATATTTGTATCTTCTCAAATTAAATATATTTGTTTTTCAACACACAACAAAATATGAATACCATGATAAAATGTTTTGACAAAATATAAAGAATATTTTTGATTAAGTCTAGTTTTTTTTTTCTTATTTGCCGGTTTTGTGTGTTTTTTTATATAAAAACGTAGAAAACCAGTAAACGTATTCTTTTATCACACAGAAATAAATTCTATTAACCCATTACGCGATATACACGCCATTTAACGCATTTTTCACCCCCCCCCCCTTTTGTTGTCTCAAATGGTGTAAAAATGCCTTATTCAGGCCCCAACACTTGTTTTGTTTGAGAAATGTTATTTAAAAAGTGACCACTTTTTCGGTGCCCTCCCCCCCCCCAAAACCAAAAGACACATCAGGGGATTGCCGTTTGCTGTTGGTTTTTTTTGGGGGGGTGGAGGGGCGGCAGTCCCCCTCATCGCCAAGAAAAAATGGACTTGTGAGAGGCTAAAAATGAGCCCAGATTGATCATAAGGTAACGTGTAACCAACGCTGAAAAGCACTTGACTCTCTCTCAATCCATTGAGAAATTGCAGCACTAAAATCAATTCCGATGGAAAAAATCAACGCAAAATAGTGATTTTTGGCAATTTTGAGATGTCCCCTCGTTATTATGGTAACAGGAAATTTAAGTTGCAAAAATAATGGTCCAGTCAACACTTGTGCCAAGTTTGATTAGTATTGAAGCAGTTTTATAGTTTTATAGCAATTTGAACTTGTAACGGGAGACTTTTCAATGAAATTAAAGAGCCATTTTTCACAAAATGCTCATGGAGTAATGGGCTTATGAAATTTTTTTTAAAAATCTACAAAACAACAATTTTTCTTCAAATTTATATGCAAGGCCATGTATAGACATGGAAAAACGCGATTTTGGGTGATTTCAATTATTTTATCACTTTCTGTTAACCCATTACGCGATATACACGCATTTTAACGCCTTTAATTATCCCCCCCCCTTTTTGTTGTCTCAAATGGTATAAAAATGCCCTATTTAGGCCCCCAATACTTGTTTTTGTTTGAGAAATGTTGTTTAAAAAAGTGACCACTTTTTTTGGCGCGGCCCCCAACCAAAAGATATATCAGGGGGTTGACAGAAGGGGATGTGCCCCCTTCTGTTTTTTTTTGGGGGGGGGGTGAAGGGGTGCGGAAGTTCCCCTCTTCGCTAAGAAAATTTTGGACTTGTGAGAGGCTAAAATGAGCCCAGATTGATCATAAGGTAACGTGTAACCAACGCTGAAAAGCACTTTACTCTATCTCAACCCATTGAGAAGTTGTAGTACTTTGAAATCAATTTTGATGGAAAAAATCAACGCAAAATAGTGATTTTTGGCAATTTTGAGATGTCCCCTCGTTGCCATGGTAACAAGAAATTTAAGCTAGGCCATGTTGTTGCAAAGGCAATGGTCAAGTCAACACTTGTGCCAAGTTTGATTAGTATTGAAGCAGTCCCCTCGTTGCCATGGTAACAAGAAATTTAAGCTAGGCCATGTTGTTGCAAAGGCAATGGTCAAGTCAACACTTGTGCCAAGTTTGATTAGTATTGAAGCAGTTTTCATAGTTTTATAGCCATTTGAACATGTAACGGGAGACTTTTCAATGAAAACAGCCATTTTTCACAAAATGCTCACGAAGTAATGAGTTAAAATTGATAATGAATTATTAAAAGGAAGTAAATGTTTAAATACTTGTTATGTTAAGTTACATTAGTTATTCCCCTTCATTTGTCACAATTAAAACTGCGAGTTTCTTTTTTTGTGGATTCTATTGAAAGGCATTACCAATTTCTCAAACGTAAAAGAACATGAACTGTTGCTTAATTTGATAATGTTAGGTGAAGATAGATAAATTCTTGTGTATTGTATACATGTGTTCATATGCTTTTTAAGTAATTTCTTAAACAATCTCACATTACATTAACCATTATTTTGCATTTATGTTCATGCCATGTGTCATTTATGTATTAATTGTTTTGTATATGTAATATGGTGCTGAGCTTTTGATGCTTTAACCAAGAAATAAAGTTTCTGTTATGTCTGTTCTGTTCATATTATCATGTCCGTATCTTACAAGTTTTGTCAACTTAATATCGTTTGAATTGGAAATGGTTTAATAGTTTGTGGTAACTTTTGATGGTATATGGGAATGTGACATAAATGGTCTATTCTGATTGTTGTTTTACCCGCTCTAGTTTATTTTGCAAACTTGTATTTTAACATGTCCGCAATCAAGAGAATGATGCAACCAGAGTAGCACTTCATTTGAGGGTGGCTGACATTGTCAGTAGGCCATGTAATCTCCTTGTAAACGCCGCTGTCAGCTAGAAAGTTCTGTGTGCGCCCGCAGAGCTCCTGTGTCGTTGTAAGAGATCGTACAGCCCTGCTATCGCGACGTCCCCAGTGCTGTGCTTTTATCAGAACGTGGAGCGACGACATTTGTCTTTCGATGTAACTCGACTGTTTAATCAGCGCACCTCGGCATAATTTGACGCCGTAGCGAGGTCCTATAGTGACAGGGGTTTGATATGTTTAATGCTAACAAAACAGGTATCTGATGTTTAGTATTGAGCATGCTATTCTGATTATTAATACACAAATTCTTAATACTTGTAAACGAGGTGTGGCGACCTAATTGATTCTTTACAGGAGAAAAACAGATTTTTTTTTATAATTACCTTTGCTCAATATTCTAGTGTTCACGGAAAAGACCAAAATAAATATACATAGAATTATGAAAAAGCACAAGTGACACAAAAATGTTACGCAAAGGGAATTATCAGGTCGCACATAATATATTCATAGGAACAAATTATGAACCAGTTAGCGTAGAGTTAACCCTGAACATGCTCAATATTTAATTGTCCAGCTTTTAATTTTGGTACTGTACACT